TGGCAGGCGGCATGGGACCGCCTCTTCCTCTGCCGCCGCCGCCTCGGCCACGACCGCGTCCTCGTGTAGCACCTGGGATCATGAAGTCTGGGTTTGCTGCATTGGCTTCCAGAATGACATCTCCCTGTCGCATAGGCCTTCGGGGACCGGGGAATGGGCCAAACTGACCTGCCGCGGCGCCCATCTCTGGCCGCCAGTTGGGATTGATCGGGCGCTGAGAGACAGAAGTAAAGTGCGATGCTTCACTGGCCGCAGGAGAACGTGAACCATCTGGCAAGTCGTCGTAAGAGCTGGTGCGAGGGAGGTTGGAGTCACTCAAGTTGTTTGTGGAGAGAAAGTTGGGGTTCGGTGGCACGAATCCGCCTGGCATCAATGACGTCGGCAGTGGTGGAGGCGCCTGGGACTGTACGGGTTCTGCGAATCTGGGGTCTACATCTTCGTAGTAGTCAGAACTACGCTCTGGTCTGCTGACTGAGTCGACTGGAGCAAGTTGGGCATTCGCCATGATAGGCGAGTCCTGAATCGGAGAGAGTCCACGGCTGCTGTTACTGTTGTTCATGGTGCTGAGCGTCTGATCAGATGGCACTTTTTGCTGGTTCCATCCGGCCTGAGCTGGGACAAACTGCTGCTGTTGCTGCTGCTGTTGTGGGGGCGGTTGTCGTGGTTGCGCATCACTATTTGATGTTAGGACAACAATCGCAAGGCACGTGGTGGAAAGTACTTACGATGTCGAGTATTCGCTGGTAGGGCTCATGATTTCTGGAGAACGCCTCTGGGGTGAGCCAGCCGGGAAGGGGCCACCCTGTTGAAGAGCAAGCATGCCTGCAACATCACCGTCGCTCTCTCTCAGTCCATAATTGTTAGCAGGTGTGCCTGTGCGATTATCCATTTCGATAGCCTGGCCAATGGGCATTTGCGGCATTGGTCCAGGTGGTGGGCCTCGACCATACGGCGATGGCTCGCGAGGCGGCGGTCCTTGACTGTAAAAGTTATCGTTGTTATATCCTGGAGGAGGAGCACCACGAGCCATTGGAGGGCCATTGGGAGGTCGTCCACCACGTCCATTGCCATTCCAGCCTGGCGGGGGAGGTCCCCGCATAGCTCCTCCTCTTGGGCCATATCCGCCTCTTGGACCATAGCCTCCTCCTCTTGGACCTCCAAACTGTCCACCCCGTGGCGGTCCTCCTCTTCCTCTGTATGGACCTCCCCTGCCGCGCGGGACTCCGTTCATCATGGCAAACCCATCATTGGGCATAGGTGGGAGAGGGTTACCGTATTGGTCTACTGGTTGTCGGCGACCGATAGGGCCGCCGGGCGGCGAGCCCATTATGTCTGGACCATTGCCGCCAGCACTACTAACAGTTTTGAGCGAAGGGTTGCGTTGGTTCAAAGGCACCATGTCGTCTGTGGGAGACACTTTTGAGGAATCAAAATAAGCTGCGTTGCCGTTTGATTTGAGGGCAGACGACATTGTGTCGTTGTCAAGAGGGGGCGGGGATTCAGCCTTTGGATATTCAGTGGTCACTGTTGCGTTTGCGCGATTCGCATAATAGGTGTTGCCGTTCATCTCGTCGTTTTCGGCAATACGTCGCTTCCTCGCCTTGCGGCTGACCAACGTACGTCTCATGGCACATGTTACAATTCCGCTTGCGACAATGATAACGGTGGCACCCAGTACAATCCATCCTCCCCAACCCACGTGGGGAACGAACAACAAAATGTCGACGAGAAACGCGAGCAGTGTGACGAGTAGGGTTGGGAAGGTGAATATAAGCAGGGCAAGAAGGTAGCGCGGCGAGTGGGCAGGCGAATGGAAGTGGGCGGCGACCGAGAGGGCGAAGCAAATGAGTGTCATGAGGGCCGCGACGGGGTGGACGATAAGGATTGAGGATAGGGCATGTCGCTGTGCAGAGGGTAGCGAAAAGTCGGAGGTCTCTTCACCTGCAAACAGTTTCTCTGTATTCGAGTAGTTAGTTCGTGTTGCACGCGTGCGCTTGTAGTGTAGCAGCACATACCGGTGTTGTACCCGATCATGGGCCCTTTACAGCCTGAATCGCCATTTTCGCAGTAGCCCAAGACGCCAAAATGAACGCCACGGTAGGTAGCGAGCGGGATGCTCTTGATGAGGGGCGTCGAGAGGGTGGATAGCAACAATAGCACGAATGCGACGAAGAATAGAATGGATAAAGGGGTGGCCGGACGCAACATGATGGCGACAAAGGGCAGCGTCTAGTACTACCGCAGTGGGAATCCGGTCCGCCAGCGACCGGCTTTGGAGACTCGGCGATATAGGTTGGAGGGGGGGTCGGAGGGGCGTGTCTGCGCGACTATAGTGAATGCGCAGACGTCGTTGTTGGAGAGAGCAGTGGAAAACGAGCCTCAGCGCGGCTGTGTCCGAGGTGAAACGAGTGACGAGTGAGGATGCACGGGGGATGCCTGCAGTGTCATTGATGCCTCGACCCGGGAATGGCACGATGCGGGACAGCGACGCGATTGACACAGACAGCCGGCGGAAGATTGGCGGTCGCTGGCTGTTTCGGTTGCGGGGAAGCGTGGGCGTGGGCGTGTTGGCGTAGACACGAGGTGGAGGATAGTGGGCGGGAGGCTGGAGGGCCAAAAGAACAAGCTGTAAGCTGCAACGGTACAAGCGGGCGGGCAGCCAATAGCGTAAACGGCACCAGAGATGGATGCGAACGTTGGGGGCTTTGGCCGCTAGTCACCGATAAACCTGCTTGCGGCTGCTTGGAATGCGGGACGCTATCCAGCCGTCAAACCACCGCTGCGGACTCGATTGTGACGTGATGATGGTTGCGAGCGGACGAGCAACAGGAACCAGGCACAGGAACCAGGAACAGGAACAGCATTAGCAACTCGATCCCGATCCGATGAGATTGAACGCGACAGCCTCACCGTAGCAATCATGTTGTGTGCGCGTAACCCCCTGGATCTCCTCTCCGTCTCACAGCGCCAACCAGTGTGCTTCCCTGTTCATAGTGCCTGTTGTTCGGCGCAATATTCACCAGCATGCATGCCTGTGCGGCCATGCCATTTGCCATTTCCCCGACAAGCCCATCGTCTCATCTCGTCTAGCCTGCACGGCCCTCCCCAGAGTGATCGTCCAGGCACGCTCGGTGCTTCAAACACCGGGTTCTGCTGAAACGCGCAGAGCCTCCATAGCCTAGTCCTGAGGCATAGTAGCTGGCCTCAATCCCTCTTCTGTCTTGTCTCGTCGTCTCCCGACACGCTCTCTCTACGCGCGCTTTCTGTTCATGCCAATGGCCTCTCCGCCAAAGAGCACGCAAACACAGCCCTGTCCTCCCCTTATCTCCTACTGCCATGCACCCCAGTCTAGTCTTCACGATATTAGGCCCCGAAATGTCATCTTTTCGGCGCCACCAACTTTTCTCTTGGTTCCGCGTTCCATTGGCTACACCCGCCGCAATGCCTTCTTTGCTTTTGCACACCTCCAAAACCACACTTCGCACACGACACTGTCTCACAATCACAATGCTCCGCTCACAATCATGCTCAATGTTTGAGCCGCAAGGCTCCTCAACGGTTTATTTTGTTTGATTCTCGGCCTCACTCATGGTATTCCTATGATAAGCAGATCCGCAAGATCCGCGTCAACCTCCCCACAAGGGGTCACGAACGCCTGGTTTTTTGAGTTTCCGAGTCCTGCACCAATGCTCATGAATTCATGGGTACTTCATACGCTAACCTACTACTAAACATCCGCCCGTGTCACATTTAGTGACCAGCGAGGGCGTACGCACGGCGGCGATCACGCTCCTCAGCGATCGAGAGCTTGACACCCTTGCCCTTGGGCAGAGAGATCCATGGCTTCTCCTTTCCAATGATACTGCTCGTTTGTCAGCACTTCAATTCTGCCATGCCATCGGATATTTCAACTTACATGACGTTGGACTCACGAGTAGTGAACTCGTTGTCAACAGCGTCCTTGATGTGGACAATGTTGAAGCCTCCGTCGTGGCGCTCACGGTGGGTGATGACACCAACACGACCCATGTTACGACCACCAGTGACCATGACGATGACGCCAGTGTCGAACTTGATGAAGTCGGAGATCTTGCCAGTGGAGAGGTCGACCTTGACGGTGTCGTTGACCTTGATGGCGGGGTCGGGGTAACGGATCCTACACATATGTTTAGCAGCAATTCGGACATAGCCAGACCCTGGTCGTATGCCTGATGAAAGAGGTTTCCCTTCAGTCACCTAGCCCAAACTGTGGTCCAACGGCTGATAGAGCGAGAACTTACGTTCGCGCATCGTGCGTAACCAAGTAGGGAATTCCACCCTTGCCGAGCTGAACACGCTTGACCTTGCCGAGCTTGTATTGTGCCTCCTCATCTGTTATCCTGTGGACGGTGAAGCGGCCCTTGGTGTCGTAGATCAGGCGGAAGTTCTCGCCAGTCTTCTCAATGGAGATAACATCCATCAATCCAGTGGGGAAGGTGCTGTCAGTGCGGACCTTGCCGTCGACCTTGACCAGACGCTGCATGAGGATGGCGTTGACCTCACGGGCGTTGAGCGCATACTTGAGACGGTTGCGGAGGAAGATGACGAGGGGGAGGGAGTCGCGGAGCTTGTGAGGACCGGGCGAGGCCTTGGGGGCGTAGGCACCTGCGAATTGTCAATTTGATGCTCGCCATGTTGCTTTGCACTGCCGGTTGCGGGTGTGCAGGAATCAAGCGTACCGGACAGCTTGTCCAAGAGCCAGTGCGAGGGCGCGCTGAGGCGCTTCTGGTGCTTCACGGGTCCACGCGCCATTTTGACTGTTGTGTGAGGTTAGTCGTCGAGGTTGTCGGAAGTCCTGTCAGAGTACGAAATCGAGGTGGGAAGATTTGATCAAATTCCCACACTAGCGCCGTGTGCTAACCGAGCACTAGCGTCGCCGCCAAGGCTAGCGCCTCGGTGTGGATCATCCTCGCAAATAGATAATGGGAACGCCTAGCAAGATGTATTCAAGTTGCAAGATGCAGTGATTGAGATTGAACCGTGTGAGAATGCTCTAATTTCTTCAATTTCGTGTTCGGGTCTGCACAACCCTTGAATGGACATTGCTGATCAGTCCGTCACAACACGTCAGGATATTAAGTCCGGTGAATTTTAACCCTAATATTTTGATTCGACTTCAATGCTATCAACGTTTTTTTCTTTATTGTCCATTTTAGGCGTATCCCTTCAGCACTGCGGCCTCGGCATTGAGAATGGAAGAACCTGCTGCCCCAATAACCGCTGCAAATAGTTAGCATCATATTTTGATCTTCTGTATAACATTCAACTTACTGTTGTGGCTTAATGCAACAAACTTGATATCGAAAATACCAGACTCATCCTCCCGTATTCTACCCACACTGACAGTGTATCCTCTGTCAGTCTCCCTGTCCAATCTTGGCTGCGGCCTGTCAGGCTCGTCCATGACTGCAATTGCCTTCTTAGGCGCAGAGGGGCATCCTAGCTTTTGCGCGTCCGAAACATAATCGCGCATCGCCTGCTTGACCTCATCTGCACTGGGTGGTGGGCGACGCTGGAAGCGTAGCGATACGCATGCAGTGTGTCCATCCAGGACTGGAACGCGGTTGCATGCAGCGGAAATCTTCATGGGCTGGTCCACGAAACCAGTGACACCCTCGTTGACACTACCAAGGATTTTAGAGGCCTCAGTCTCTAGCTTGTCTTCTTCGCCAGAAATAAAGGGTACGACGTTGTCGATGATGTCCATGCTGCTGACGCCGGGGTAGCCAGCGCCTGAGACTGCTTGCATTGTAACAACTGACACTTGGTTAATGGGACCAAATTTGTCCTGCAAAGCCGCAAAAGGTATCACTATTCCAATGACAGCGCAGTTTGAGTTGCACACTAGAAAGCCCTTTTCGAGCTTGTGATGCTGCCTCTGGTGCTTGATTACGTCGAGATGTGGAAGGTTTACAGTGGGAACGACGAGTGGGACGAGAGGATCGCGGCGGTAGTTCTTTGCGTTGGAGAAGACGGCAAGTTCAGCCTTGAGGAAGGCCATCTCTACACAACAGGTCAGCTGCTGCGCAAGGTATTTGAAGCAGCGCACCTACCAACGTCTCCCGCAACATCGCTGTCAAGTCCAGAGAAGACCAGGTCACAGTCCTTGAATTCTTCGGGTACGCATTTCTTTACTACCAATTCTCCAATGCGCTCCGAATACGGCAGCGCTTGCTTCCACTTGACCGCATCTTTGTACTTCTTGCCAGCCGATCGCTCCGAGGCTCCGACAGCGTGTAGCTCGAGATGTGGGTGGAGAGCAAGGAGAAGGATGAAGCGTTGGCCGACAGAGCCAGTTGCGCCGAGCACACCTGTGATTGACTCAGTCAATCAATCATTCCTTTTGGGTGGCAAGCGCTTACCGCACTTCTTCTTGGGGAATTCCCGCTTAGGAGACGTAAAATGTTCAGCGTCCATGGTTATAGTAAAAGAGAATGTGGAATCATGAGATTGAGTCAATCGAGTTCATAAAGTTTAAGTCGGGAAGTTATGACGCGCGGGGGTGGGGTGGAAAACGCGACCACCGATCGCGGAGGTCCCACGCTCGCCTTGTCAGCTATGGCAATTTAGGTCACTTTCCCCCAAATCTGCAGAGCGTAAACTTTTCATTACTAAGATTTTTTTTAAAAAAAATCAATAGGTGAGATCGATGCATTCCCCCGGCAGATGCAGTGCAGATGGTCAGACATCCCTCCCAATGCATAGTAGCGGCTTTTGAACGAAGAAGAAAAAGAAGCAAAGTGGCGGGACTAGCTATGTCTGAGCATCCATGATTTTACCCGGGTTCATGAGCCAGTAAGGGTCTAACGCGCCTTTGATGGACCTCATTACGTTGATGGTATCGACACCAAGCTCTTTCTGCAGCGATGCCTTTTTTCCGAGTCCGATGCCATGCTCGCCAGTGCAAGTACCCTCCATCTCGAGCGCCCGGTCGACCATGTCATGAACACACTTTTCAACGGCAGCTCGCTCTTTGGGGTCTTTACTGTTGTACATGATGCTTTCGTGAAAGTTTCCGTCTCCGATGTGACCAAGGATACTTGCAAAAAGGCCGAGGTCGTCCATTTCCTTCTTGGAGATTTCTGTAGTAGTTTTAGACAGGAAAGGAAGAAGAGGGTTGAGCGTAAGTGCTATCGCAGGGTCATACCTATAATGTCTGGGAGCCGGGAAATAGGGACTGCGACATCTGTTGACCAAACCTCGTCACCTTCGCGACGAAGTGCCATCATGCTCCAAAGCGACTCCTTGCGGGCCGACCAAAGAGTTTTCTGCTCCTCGGCATCCATGGCAAATTCAAAATCACCGCTCTTATTGGCTTTTGCGATAGCCTTTACCAGCTCAATGTTTTCCTGTACCTAGTATGCAGTCAGTTACGTTCTGGGTAAATGCGCGGCTGTAGGGCTGAACATACCCCTGCTTTTGTTCCCGAGAACCTGTTTGCAGCTGTTAGCTCTGGCTTCACAAGATCTAATCTATCTGGGAAACCTACTTGAAGAACATGGTCGGCAATTCCTTCCATTTTTTTGCTGTCGCACCCGCTTTGTTAATGACGCCCATTTGCACGTCATCCATGATCTCCATGGCGGCTACAGGGACCCCGGCCCGCAGCACTTTAGAGGCTGCAGCTGCAGCATCGCGAATTGTAGGAAAGGTCACGACTGCAACACTCGTCTCTTGGGGTATGACAGCTAGCTTGAGGGTCACTTCTGTGACGATGCCGAGGGTACCTTCGGACCCAATAAAGAGGTTTGTCAAGTTGTAGCCAGCGGACGATTTCCTAGAAAACCATTAATGATGCTGTGAAGCCAATACGTGGGAATATGCATACCGGGGCCGCCGTCTGGTTTTGATGACCGTGCCGTCAGCCAGTACCACGGTCAGGTTAATGACCCAATCCTTCATGGTGCCGTATCGCACAGCGTTAGTTCCACTGCGATGATTAGTTGCAATATCCGTGCAGCGTAGATAACTGCACCCACCTGCAGCTCGTGCCTACCATGCCTCCAATTCGGGCCTGACACGTTTGTTAATAAAGTTTGGGTGGCCATGTGGTGCACAATCAGGTGACAGGTGTATGCATACCGAAGGGCCGGGGTCAACAGGAAAAAAAAGACCAGACTCTTTGATCTGATCGTTGAGACTCATCCAGGGCACAGAAGGCTGGACGACAACATCCATGCTATAGGTTTAGTCAGCAGTGCCCTCGCTCTAAGTGCAAGGCATTGCTGACTCACTCATCCTCGTGCAAGGCAATGATTCGATCCATAAAGGCAAAGTCGATGCTCATGCCACCAAAGGGAGCCGAGAAGTTTGCCTCCAAGCTTGATCCACCAGAGTAGGGAACTTTGCGGTATTAGTAGGCAGGATTGGAGAAAGCATGGCGTGCGTACTCATTGGTATCCTATACTTGAAGCAGATTTTGGCAATGGCCGAGCACTCTTCAGTTGACTTTGGGTATGCCACGGCGACTGGGAGCTGGTCAATGTTGATGGAGGACCATTCCGAGTAGCCGTGTCTGTGTAAATCTTCATCGTCGGTGCTGATTACTTCCTCTCCCAGCAATTCCCTCAGCTCAGTGATGGCCTGGACTGTTGAGCATGGATCATGTGCAAACATATGGTCTCTAGTAAACCCACCTTTTCCATCTCGTGCTTGTTTGCATACTGAGGACCAGTGGACTTGAGCCATGGCATTTGGATGCGGTGGGGTTCGTCATTGGCGCCGTAAAAGTAGGTGGTTGTGCCAGTGACGGCAGAGAAGAGCAAGGCTCGCCCAGAGTTCCAGAAGGGTCGTTGGTTGGCATGGGATGTGAAGGTTCGGTCGGCTCCGCTTCGTGCCCGAGTGCCTGCTCGCCTGAGCAAAGGCGAGACTGTGTGTCTGACTCGCGCTGCTGCTTGCCAAAACATGGTTAAAAAAGAGAGGCGAGGAGAGAAATATCGAAGTAAGAAGAAAAAGAAGAAGAAAGAGAGAAAGAAGAAGTTGATCTACCTGGCCAGACTACAGGTCGAGGCAGGCTTCAGTGACGGAGACTATGGGCCCATGCGCGATTTGCGAGCTAGAGGGATGGATGGCAGCACTAAGCATTTTATGGGGCCCACGGGTAGAGGACAAGGACAGCAGAAGCGGAAAGAAGATAATTCAAGGTACAGACATACGGCGCCATTGTTGTTTTGGGCAAGGCTTTGGGCGTCATGGGCCAACGCACGGGCAAGGCCGCAAGACCACATAGTGTGGTTGATGGAGGAGAAGAGGCATGGGGCGCGTGGGAGGCTGACTGGGTTACCGATGTGCAGCAGCAAATGAAGCCGGTTGAGCGTGATCAGCTGCAAGGGGGCTTGGAAGCCGGCAAGGCAATTGCGGGGAAGGCCAGGGCGGCAGCGGTAGCGGCAGCGGCAGACAGAGGCAATGGTATGGTATGGATATGCAGCGTGGCGACTGATGGTGGATGACAGTCAAGGCGTCGTCAGTCGCGTGACGAGGCGCCGGCTAGGGTCGCAAGCAAATGCAGACTGGAGCAGCGCCGAGTTTTTTTTGTTTTTTTCCTATTCCAGACGGTTTATAATATGGATTCATAGGCCAGCTGGCAGGAGAAACGTGTGTGTGGGTGTGTGTGCCTGGAAGCGTGGCGGCCGCCACATGGATACACAGACATGGCATGTGTGAGGCTCAGCAGCAGCAACCGTCAGGATGGAAAGCAAAGGCCCGGGGGGGTCTGGATGGCGAGCAAGAGGGCGTGGATAGCGTGCATTGGATGGCCGTCATCCAATTACCTCAGCAGTGCAGTGGGGGCCGTTTGCATCCACCTCGACATGCCACGCCGCCATCAAGAGCGGCTCCAGTCGGCCTTTGCTCGTCGGCCATGGCCATGCATGCACCAAAGGGGGGGGGGGGGTTTCGACAATACAAGACAAGACAAGACAGACGTTGATGGCGCATCCAAGCAGCCGTGGCGCAACAGCATCGCCCAACGTCAATCAAGCGTCCAGGCACTGCCAAAAAAAAAGCAAACAAGCATGCGGTGCAGGCGGCGGTGCAAGGTGGGGAATGCTCGCGGCCCATGTCTGTACATACTTGGATACTACATGCGTATAGTGTACAGTAGTGTACACACGACTATACGACTACAGTGCACAAAGATTGGCTGGCGCGGTTGTCGGAGGAACGCGAGACCGTCAAACAAGATCGCGTATAGGCGATCCGACGCGCTGCACACTTTGCACGGGAACCAGAACAAGCTACTACGACTACGACTACGTACATACGCACTATTAGTTGCAACGTCGGAAGCCGAGGCCAACCATGCCAGACAGGCCCCCCACGGCAGACTTGGGCGCACAGCTCAATGCGGAACTGACGAGGATCATCAAATGTCCATATCCTCCCTCGCTGTCTGTAAGTACTGTATCAGTATTACCGCATCTTGCACCATCAACCAACTATATGACTCGTCACTTCTGTATCCCGCCATGGTTGGTTGATAGATAGTCTGACCAACATCTCACACACAGCCTCTCTCCCATCTACTCGCGCGTGCCGACCTACCCACCATCCGCGCTTCTATTCATCACCGTTCCCCATGTGCCCTGGCTGCCTTGGCCAAAATCGTCCGCGACGCCTTGCCGCTGACGGCTTACACGCTGCGTGTCCTGCATCGTCTGTGTAAGCTTTTGACCGCTTCTTGTTAACACATCGGCTGACCGCCTACCCCTATGCAGGCCATGCACCCGAGTTCCGTGACCAACTATTGATTCGCTACCCGGGCCTGCTAAACGGTCTGTTGGAGAGGGCTGTTTCCTCCAAGCAAGACTTCAACGATGTGAGTAGTACAGACTTTGCCACCATCCCACCCCCTAACTCAGCACCAGCTCGGGGAACTATGTGTGCTACTTCTGTCGTGCCCTTTGCCAGAGGCAATTCCCTTGCCTGCCGCCGCACAGAGTTTTCTGCTCAACGTCTTTGAAAAGGCTTCACAAAACCCAAATTCCGATGCCTTGAAGTCGGTATATCGCATGCTCAATGGAGCATGCGCTCAGCTCTACCGTCTCCTTCCTAGTGCTGCCAGACGACGCTTCGATACCGAGCTATGTCGCATCTTGCAAAACAATGTATCTGGCGAGTCGGCCATGCTGCTGTTGTGGCTGTGTGGCATAGTCATTATCGTTGAGCATCCAGAAGGCATCCAGCCTGCCCACGCGTTCGACACCAGTCACCAGCCCGTCTCTACCCAGACGCTAATGCAGCAATGGGTAACACCATCCGGTCAAAAACTATTTGGCTCTACCAAGGACTTGTACAAGAATATACAAATGACGTGCTTGAATATCTTGTGGCTCCTCAAAGCCCCCGTTGACGACGACGAAGAAGTAACTGAAGGCTTGCGTATTGCCTCTAGAATCATGCAATGTATCGACATAGACATCAGAGATAGTTGGATCAAGCATGAAAAGGGGGCACTGCTTTTTGACAAATGCCGATCGAGGATAGAAGAGTCGGCTTCTAGCCCCACCATCCAGCTGGAGGCTCTGTCTTTCTTTGGCCAGCTTTCTGGCTCAAAGAAACTGTCCCAAAGTACAGTGATACGGTATGCATCATGTGTCTTTGATGCTGTCTGTACAGCGGAGCCAGCCGGCATTTCCGAGCTGCTATCAGTATCACTTCCTAAATTCGGGGTAAGCACATTTGAAGCCATTGTGAACCACTCAACTGATTGAGACAGGCATATATCCCAGAAACCCAGGCACTGTTTTCCAGTGTCCTAGATGCATGTGCTGAACAACCAAGCCCCAGGCACATGTCCAATCTTGTCAGTTTCATAGATGAGCTCACCGCTGCCACCCTGTCTTCTTCCATATTACGAGGTAATGTACTACGCGGTTTGTCGTCAAAGAAATTGCAAGATAAGATCTGGCGTCTTGTGCGGCTCGTGCCGGATCATCAAGCCGTCTGCACCCATGTGGGATCGATCCATCGGCAGCTCATCGCTGCTACCCTTGCTTCTCTGATCACTATCATCCTTGCAGCTGAGCCAGGAGAACCGACGTTACCTCAGACCCTCAAAATGTCTCTTGTGAAGGCGCAACGGGATCTGCCGCTTGTAGCGGGTGCTTGCCCATATGCCTCTGAGACGCCAAAGAACACACCCATATCACTTTTTCAAGCTGCAAATACACAAAACCCTGGTCAGCATTTGGAAGACTGGAGTACACGCCTTGAATCAGAACTACAAAGCCAGGGCAAGTATCAGAGAGACGCCATCTTACGTTCAGTAGCACAGATTTGCACTGACCTCGAAACGCGCTGCAACACAGTCGAAGAGCCGCTACGTAGGGAGAAAGAAAAATCAACCGAACTCGAGGAGCAAAACCGCTCCCTGAACGATGAAGTTGAGTCATTACGAACACAAAACGAAGACTCCATCGATCAGCTAGAAGGCTTAGAAAAGGAGCTAGAAGATCTGAAAGAAGACCAAGGCCGTTTACAGGAGGAGAATGCTACCATTACCCAAGAAAAGGAGCAAGCGCAGTCTAGGGCCAAAGAGTTGGAGACACTTCTCAAAGAGTCAAAATCGAATGCGAACGAAGCGCTCAAGGCTGCACAGGAGAGTTTCAGCACAAAGGAGCTCGCACTCCAATCAAGTATTCTTCAACATGAAGAAGATAACCGTGTCCGTGATTCACAGATACAGCAGCTGAACGATACTATCAGTGAGCTAAAGCAATCTGGAGCTCAACGCGAGAAGGACCACACCACGCTTGCCAAGGAATATGAGAGTCTCCAACGTCGCTGTCAGGATATGGAAGAAATGCTTCAACATGAAAGATCAAACGCCGCTAACCGGAATGACGGTGTTGTACGTCTCGAAACACGAGTATCAGAATACCGCCGCCTTCTAGAAGAGAAGGAAGCTGAGTTGGAAGAAGCCTTGAAAAATTTAGACGCATTGCAAAGCATGCACCAAGAGCTCCAAGAGACATCGGAAGCCAAGCTCAAAGACCTAGCAGCTCAGAATACTAGCGATATCGAGGCACTTAATGAGAAAGCCGAACACGTTTGTAGGACTCTTGAAGATCAACTGCAGAACGCTCTGGAGGATTACCAGCAAGAACAACATGACCACGAAAAGTCGCGTCAACAGATTGAGCAGCTCCAAGAAATCATTCCACACCTAGAGTCTAGAATCCAAGAGCTCAAAGACTTTTGTAAAGAGCAAGAAGATGAACTTGAGGAACGTAGAGCCATCCACAAGAATGTGTTGGCACATTTTGGTGTCTCGTCCCAACAACCACTAGCCATTCGCTCTGCGTCTCGATCCTACAAGGACATTGCCGCGACCACGACTACACGTGAGCCGCGAACTCAACGGCGACGCAAGTCCGCCTTTATTGCACCCCAGAACATCACGCCAATGGCAGACTCGACTACAGAAGATACTACTGAGGCGTCTTTTGAGTCATCTTCGAAAGCCAACATCCCAGCAGCCAAACGCTTGAAACCACGGCCGGCTTTCAAAGTTCCCACCATGCTTACGCCGTACGCTCAGAAGCCCGATTTAGTCTCTAAATCCGTCTCGGGCAGGACATCACCCAGTAAGCGTTCAGCGCTGCGACAAATGTCGCCGAACCGGCGGCATACAGTTGGGGCTTCAACGGCTGAGCAAGGAGATAATGATACCACTGACGCGAGTGCGTTGATGGAGAAGCGGGGAGAAAGTCTCCAGGATATCGAGTATGCAGACTTCGATACCGATGAAGAGTTCCTCTCTGACACGCCACTTACACCGGGATTTATGGCAGGAACAGGTAGAATTCCTAATGAAGACGAGACGTTTACGAGTGAGCTATGAGCAATGTAAGACAAGAAGAATCGGAGGATCTATTGGACGGACTTCATAAGAACTAGACCATCTACGTCGACGTCATATTACTAGACGAAAAAAAAGGATAATCCTCAATCAAACCATCAGCCATGTACCTACTATGAAACCCGCATTTACAAGCGACCCAAGTACCTCGTCACCCACCAACACCCGCCACCATCCGCCCACGCAACCCTCACACTTCCCATCCCAGTCTATACGAACCCACCCCACTCCAATCGCCCATACGCGCAACGCGCACAACCCAAACCCCCACGCCTACCACCGGAATACCCAAAACGAATAACCCCGAACCACACTGCAGCAAACTACTACACGCGTGTCCTAGTACCCAAACTAGCGGGGTCCCCGCACTACGCACTACTACCCGCCACACCTAATTGGCCCACTTGCAAGGTATTCCTGTTCCGCACACCATCGGCAAACCTGCTGAGATACGATGCGTGTCGCGACGGGTGTTGGTAGCAGAGTAGGTGTAGTGTGTGGAGAGGAGTAGAGGGTTAGCTGAGCTCCGCACGTGTGGTGTGTGTATGTGTGTGCGTGGATGGGGGGAAAGGGCGGGGGACTGTAAGTTTGGTTGGGAGTTGGGGACCGATGAGCTTAGATAAGTGAGAGAAAGATAGTTAGATGGAGATGAGCTTGATATGAACCTTTATCCACCATCTAAGTCTATGCAAGAGCATAACCTGTATATACCCCCGTTCCCAATCCTATTTTCATTTCTTTATCCACCCCTTGTACCGCTCTCAATAGCCTTCGGCTGAGTAACAAAGGAAAAGAGATGGCGTTCGATACAGAAGTTCTGATCATAGGCGCGGGAATGAGCGGTCTCGGTCTCGCCGTCCAACTCATCCGCACGTACAATCTCCGCACCTTTGAGATCGTGGAGAAGAGTGAGGATGTGGGCGGAACGTGGAACGTGAATACGTATCCGGGGTGCGGGTGTGATGTGAGTTCTTCCTCCTCCCTTTCCTTATCCCAAATGATGGCTTTATCACATAAAGAGAAGAAAGAGGGAGGAAGAGAGAAGTTGATGAATAGTTAGGTCGCTTCGCACTTCTACTCGTACAGCTTCGCATTGAATCCAGACTGGAGCCGCAAGTACTCGCACCAGCGCGAGATCCAGGCGTATTTCCAGGACGTAGCAGAGCAATATCGAGTCCTTGAGCATATCCGGTTTCACTCTACTGTAGAAAAAGCGGCATGGAATGAGAAGGATAAGATGTGGGAAGTCGAGGTTTTGGATTGGAAAACGAAGGGGAAGACGGTGCGGAGGGCGAAGATTCTTGTGTCGGGGGTTGGAGCGCTGTCTGTGCCCAAGGAATGCGACATCCCAGGCGCAGAAGTGTACAAAGGACGGTTATTTCATTCTGCAAAGTGGGATCATGGGTTTGATTGGGGTGGGAAGGATGTTGTTGTTCTCGGTATCTTTCCCCCCCCCCCCCTCCTCCTTCCCCCTACTCTATACATACAAATCCGAAAGCCAGATGAACTTCTACTAACAAAACCGCAAGGAAACGGCTGCTCCGCCACCCAATTCGTCCCCATCCTCGCCAACCCCCCCAATCCAACCCGCACCCTCATCCAATTCAGCCGCCAAGCTCAGTTCCTCTCTGAACGCCAGAACCCCGTTTACTCAGATACCTTCAAAGTCATAATGCGCTACGTCCCCCTCGCCATGCGCCTCTACCGCCTAAAATTCTACCTCGATATGGAGCGCGACTACAGCGGTTTCTCCATCGACTCCGGACACGCCATCCGCCAGGCCCTAGCTAAGGAAAACGCCGCGTATGTAAAGAACGTGGCGCCGCCGCGGTACTGGGACGCACTCATCCCTACAGTCGAAGTGGGTTGTAAGAGAAAAGTGCTGGATACAGATTACCTAAAGACACTCTGGCGCGAGAATGTCGAGCTTATATTCGATGATGCTGTGGCAAGGATATCGGAAACGGGGGTTGTAACAAGGGAGGGGAGGGAGATTAGGGCGGATGCCATTGTATTGGCGACGGGGTTTAAGACGCAGCAGATGTTGGTGCCGATGGAGATTGTGGGGAGGGATGGGGTGGGGTTGAGGGAGTATGTAAGTCACTTTCCTTACTACTAATCCCCCCGAGTTTGAGTGAAGATAGTAGGAGGATTTTGATGATTGATGACTGAGACAGTGGGATAAAACCTCGCGCGGCGTCGCACAAGCTTACTTCGGCACCGTTGTGCCGCACTTTCCCAATTTCTTCATACTGATGGGTCCGAATACCGTTACGGGCCATCTCAGCGTCATCTACAGCGTCGAGTGCCAGATCAATTTCATTTTGCGTCTTCTCGATCCCATTATCAAATCGCTGCCATCGTACCGATTGCGCTCGTGGGTTCCGAGCTTCTTCGCCGCGGCGCCGGCGAGCGTCGAAGTCAAGTCTGGAGCCGCGGCTGCAGATTCCCGATGGACACAAGACGCAGCGAAGAAGCTGGTCTGGGCGACTGGATGTGTGAATTGGGCTGTTGATGCTAAGACAGGGCTTAACAATAGTAAGATAATTTTCTCTTCGCAAATCACTTGTTTTAAAAAGAGGTGGAAAGGCTAATACTTGGTGTAGTGATGTATCCAGATTGGCAATTCATGTTCTGGCTCAGGAGCGTGTTCTGGAAGAAGAATGATTTTATATATTTGGATAAGGAGACGGGGAGGGAAGTTAATCCGCATGCGCGGAAGACGGCACTGAGGCTGGTCACTGTTGCAGCGGTTGCAAGCGGCGCTCTTCTGGGCCGACACTGGATAAGAGATGAGCTGCCTCGCAGGCTGAAGGACTTTGACACACGGGCATTGCTGAAGAGCTTGAAAGGGTAGATTATAGTTGGGCACCGCTATCGGCCTACATAGGTACATACATACATAAGTCTGCTCCTCCTACCGCTCGCCTTAAATCACGCAGAGCTAGCCCAACCCTATTCTTGTAGCCAATGACGTGCCATTATCTTCCCAGCTCGCGCTGAATCCGCGCCGCAGCTGATGTCGGAGCCGGGTGAAGTGGAACGGGGCGAGTGGGTGATAAGCTTTTGGTCAGTTAAGAAAACAGTATTCCGTATTGCGGTTCACCCAAGTACCGCCGAAGAGTAGGGTAATAATAACTACAAGTAGTTTTATAAAGGCTCCTGCGCCTATAATGTGATACTATGCCAGGTGGGATATTCAGGCGAATAAAATATCTAACGTATTAACTTAGATAGTTATAGTAGAAATTACTAAAGTATGTGTTGAAAGAGATTTTTGGATTTAGATGCTTACTGACGGACTTTGCTACCGCCTTTTCGACTAGCGGAGAGGTATCTACAATCTTGCAATGTGTTCTAAAGCACAAGCACTTGGACTAGTTCTCAGTGTCGTTGAAGAGAGGAGATGGTGATACAAGCGAACCATGTACTGTTTACTCATGCATCCAAGTACTAGAGTGGATCAAGGCACACATCGACACAACAACCATGAGAGAGAGGAAACATGCGTTAGATGTATATGACAACACTCATCAAAAAAAGAGAAAGGCTCATTGCCTAAACGCCGCGTATGCAAAGATACCTCCCATCCATGTGCCTCTAGACGATCGAATGACAATACATGGAACACAGTGAAATAAAAGAATCTCACAAGACCCTTTCTGTACCCTACTATCTCTTCTCCACGAGCAACAAATGCATAGCCATGTAGGCCAGCAGTACGAATACACCACCAAACACACCCAGCCCGATACAGTCGGTCCACAGCGCTTGCGTGTTGAAGCCAAACGAGCTGAGGATAGCTGAACCAGGGACTTCAATGTCGAGACCATACTTGTGGTCGATAAGAGACAAGTATTTGACTTCGTTGACAATGAGACCTTCAAAGGCGTAATGGAAGATTGACAACTGTAGTTGTTAGTACATATAACCTTGAATAACCCAGCGGATGAGACTTACAGATTGCAACCATTTGGCTACACCAGGAATACTATCCTTGTTCAAGAAGAAGCCAGAGAACAAGAGACTGAAGAGCATGACAAGCACGCCGATCAAGTTCGCGACTCCGGAGTTGCGGAACACGATACCGATGAAGAGGAAAATGGCCGCAGCAGCGAGGTTGAAGAGAACAAGGAAAAGCGTGAACTTAAGGAAGTTGGGCCAGGCGGGAATGAGGCCCGTCATTGGGTAAACAATGATGCCGAGGATAATGGGTGGCAATAGACGAAGTGGGATAATGTCGAAGATAACCTTGGAAGCAAAGTATGCTGGCGGGGAGTAGTAGCCCTTGGCACGCTCACGGGTAAAGAGTAGCCTCTCAGGTGCAAAGACGGTGAGAATGGTCAAGCTGCTGAAACCGAAGAGAGAGAGGACGAACAAGAACAGACCAAGACGGTTCTGGAATCCCTTGATGTCGTCCGTGAGGCCATAGAAGAGGAACCCGAGGAACACGGCCAGGACGATGGCGATGGCGTAGTGGGTAAGCATGAGCATCGGGTTGCGGTAGAGATTGCGCCATGTGCGTCGAGACAAGATTTTGAACTGGCCAAAAAAGCCTACCTTCTTAAACCCCTTGAGCTTGCCTGCTGCAACAAAACCATTGACCTCTTGGTTTCCATTCGTGCCATTAGCTTGGTTGGCGTTTGCGACTGAAGTAGCAATGTCTTCGCGAATTCTGGCCGCGACCTCGGAGGAAGAGTAGGCATTGATAAGAAGATCCAAGTTGGTTCCAGTTGCGCCGTTAGCAGGGGGTGGGAGCTCATCTGGATCTTCGAGAATCTGAGGAGGTACACCACCTTGTTGACGAGTAAGTTTCAGCCATTGAGCTTTGATAGCGCCTCGACGATCATAGGGTTCTTCGTCAGTCTTAGGTGACATGGTGCCATCGTTGGTGGTAGTAGAAGTCTTCTTGCGTGTGAATAGCTCGCGTTCCTGCTGCTGCTTGATAGATGTCCTGCGCTTGCCCTTGGGTCGCATCATGCTAGAGTTGCTGGGACTTCCAGCAAGGTCTCGCTCAAGCTCAGAGGTATTGATGCTAGGAATAGACTTGACGGCGATTGCACTGCTTGCGCTGGTGGTGAGTCCATCGCGGTTCAGATCACGGTTGAAGAGAGAGCTGTCCTCGTCAATGGGCTGACGTGCTGTACTTGCATGCATGGTAAGATCGACAATGTAATCAGCGATATTGAAACCAGGTGGGCAAGTGTAGCCAAGCTCGTCAAAGTAGGATTGGCAGTTCTCAAAAGGTCCAGAGTAGACAGTACGGCCCTTTGCGAGCAGAATCAGCTGATCAAAAAGGGCTACGATGTTAGAGCGCGGCTGGTGAATGGTGAATACAACTGTTCGGTTGTAGTTCTTGACCAGATTGACGAGACACTCGACGACGTTGAAAGCGTTGAAAGCATCCAGTCCACTGGTTGGCTCATCGAGGAAGAGGATGCTGGGCGAAGTGACAAGCTCACAGGCAATACCGACGCGACGCTTTTCTCCGCCAGAAATGCCACGACCACTTTCTTCTGAGCCGATCTTCTGGTGACGAATGTGGTAGATACCGAGTTGGCGTTCTACATCTTCAACCCTCTGCTGTTTTGAAATAAGACTCATTTCCTTTGGTAGGCGCAGTAAAGCCGAGTCAAGAATAGTTTCGTGGACGGTCAAGGTAGGCAGCAAGGTATCTTCCTGGTCGACAAAGCCAATAACGCTTCGGAACTCGTCATCGCGAACCTTTTCTCCGTTGATGTAAAAATCACCGCTGTCGACACCAATTTTGCTCTTACGGGCGAGGATATCCAAGAAAGTGGTCTTTCCAGCACCGGAAGCGCCCATGATGGCTAGAAGCTCTCCGGGATGGACCGCACCAGAAATTCCGGAGAGAATTTGCCTGCCGTTGAGATTGTATGCCACGTTTTCGAAGAGGAAAGAGGCTGGCTTGTGGTCGGCTAGCAGCTTCGCATCCTCATCCTCCTCATCGTCTGATAAGTGGATGGGGCCATAACGCTGCGCCTCGGCACGATGGGTGAGGTACCAGATAGCCAGGATAGCTGCGACGATAAACAGAGCACAACCGGCAATAACACCCGCAATGAGAGGCGTATTGATCTTCTTGATGGGCCTTTCGTAACCGGGTACTTCAGTCTGGTACAGACACTCGCCAGTGTCGCATTGTAAGAAGATGCTTTCGTCGCCAAAGATGCTCGAAATGAGGTCATTCATGGCAGGCTCGGAAAAGACGCTGCCGCTTTCTTTCTTGTTAATGGCTGAGATACCCCTGAATTCGGCAGGACCCTTGATCGACTCCCTCAAGAAGTCGCCAATGTCGACAGAGCCATCCTCTCCGCAGAGCATCCTGTCGGGGATACACTCGCACTTGATGTTCTCACATCGGTACTTGGTGATGTTGCGATCGGCTTCGGCGGTAAAGTAGGCGGCGCACGTGTCGAGGGCGCAGTAGAAGGATTCCCTCTGGTCAACCCAGACTGCAAAGGTCAGCAAGAGAGCGAGAGAGTGAAAGTAGGTGTGGGTAACACTTACACTGAAAGTTACACTCTTCGGCCTCGGCGTTGCAAGAAAAGGTGGCCTGAGGCTTCTTCTCCTTCAAGGTATCGAGGATCTTTCTGTTGGTAATGTCACAGATCTGGAAGTTTTCCTTGACCAATTGGCCGTCCTTGTAGCAGACTCCACCCTCGCCATCGGGCATCATGGCGTTGCAAGCATCGTTGGTCTGGCAGACGTTGCAGTTGATGCCAGACCAACCTTCTGAGCATTCGCATTCCTTTGCGCCTCCTCTGGGCGAACGGTCCTTGCCATCAGGCAGAGCGCCACAGAGTGGCTCTGAACAGTCCTCGCCGCCAAATCCAGGACCGCAGTTGCATCGTCCGTTGGCCTTGCTACAGTCGGCAAACTGCTTGCACTTGAAGTCCTCGAGGTTGCAGTTGAAGCATGGGGGGCAACCATCAGGCCTATCGCCATAGATGGAGAAGAGCGACTGGGGCGACTCGGCGAGGGAGTAGTTTGCAAATGTCTTGTGAGCGGTAGATGGGGATGCCATGCCCAGCACGACAGCTGCGGTGGCGGCGAGCGACGTCGCCCAGCTTCGTTGGCGCATCTTGTGTGTTTGTGTGTATGCGGCGCAGAGCCAGCGATAGCAGGCAGCTGCGATCGGACCGACGCGTCGCCGTGATAGTGGCGCGACAGTAGTAATAACAACTGACTGTCGAGGATAGAAGTGCAGCACCTGTCAAAGGAGCGGCAAGGGAGCTGGACGAGCTCGTGTGATAACGACGAGGGACAAGACACGGCCACGGAGCTAGGACTGTGATGGTGACCAACACAAGGCGGGTTGCTATCATGGCGATTGCGCCATGATGATTCGCCGACGAGGCTGGGCCTGATTCAGCCAAGTATTGTAGCGGACCGCCCGACCGAGGCACACGCCGCTCCCAGTACCTGGCGCCCTCGTCATCGACTTGTTGCTGCCAACATGCAAAAGACGACCTCGGTGCCTATGCGGGACTATTACTGCGGCTCCATACTACCGTCCTTGGAGTATGCTCAACTGCCATGGTAGGCCCATCCCTAGTTTAGTTGCCGTTGGAGCGAGCCATGTGGCAAGAAAATGTCCGTTCATCACGCCCTGCGAACTACATAGTAGACCCGCTCGAATGGAACCATGCGGAGAACTATTTGAGCGCCTAGTGCCAAACACCAGAGTAGACTCCTGGAGCATCATTGCCAAATATTCTTTCTACCCATAGTCAGTAATCTCATCGCATCCAGCACAACATGGTCAAAATCGACAAGTTCGCAGTCGAGTCCGTAAGTCGTTCCCCGCATTTCTGCCATCTGATGCGGGGCAAAACTGACCACTAGGAGTGGATGGACGCATACGAGACAAAATGCAAGTACAACATTGCCGAGACATGCTGTGCGTCAATCTCCGTCGACCAGCTACGCGACCTGTCAGAAGATAAGGACAGGCAAGTCTTCGATACTTCGCGTGTCCTCAACTATGGCGCAATTAGAGGAAGCGACGACCTGCGGAACAACCTTGCCCGACTCTACTCTGTAAAAGTTACAACACCACTCCCAGCCGAAAACATCCTCACCACCGCCGGTGCGATCCAGGCGAACTACCTGACTGCATACACTCTTGTAGGACCTGGCGACCATGTCATCTGTCACTACCCCACCTACCAATCTCTCTACGATGTGCCCAAGCAACTAGGTGCCGAAGTAGACCTATGGAAGGCCAAGCCAGAAAACAACTGGATACCATCAATCGAAGACCTGAAAGCCCTCATCAAGCCAAACACAAAGCTCATCATCCTCAACAACCCCAACAACCCCACCGGCGCAGTCCTCGGCAAGACCTTTCTTCAAGATGTCGTCGCCATTGCCTCGGAAAAAAACATCACCATCATGGGCGACGAAGTCTACCGTCCCCTCTTCCACTCTATCGGCCCCCTAGACAAAGAATTCCCGCCCTCCCTCCTCTCCATGGGCTACAGCAACATCGTTGTCACAGGTTCCATGTCCAAAGCCTACTCTCTCGCCGGCATCCGCATCGGATGGATCGCATCACGCAGCTCGGACCTGATTGAGAGGATTGCAGACGCACGCCATTACACCACAATCTCCGTGTCCTACTTTGACGAGCAAGTCGCAGCCTACGCTTTGCACTCATCGACTATACACGGTCTGCTTGCGCGCAATATCCAGCTTGCCAAGACGAATCTGGCGCTGTTGGAAAAGTTTGTGATTAAGAATGAGGATGAGTGTGAGTGGGTCAAGCCCGTGGCTGGTACGACGGCATTTATCAAATTTCACCGTGAGGGTAAGCCGGTGGACTCGGTCGACTTTTGCAAGAAGCTGCTTGAAGCTACGGGTGTCATGTTTGTACCTGGTAGCACGTGCTTTGGAGACGAGTTCAAGGGGTATGTGAGGATTGGGTTTGTCAATCAGACGGATGTGGTCAAGGAGGGTTTGGATGCTGCGACAAAGTTTATACGCAAAAACTTTGATGAGGTAGAGTTGGCTGCGTGATTGTCGTGTCCCCTGTGATACTGGAATGAAGAATACAATTTACACTCGTGGAATATGGATATGCTCGTCTCCGTAGTGATTGGTACTAGCATCTGCCTTGTTTTTCTGGTCTGGCTAACCGCCTCAGCCACACTAGCCAGATCTGCTAAGCCACACCCAACCAGCATCCCGACTCGATCCCACAGCACGCCTTACAAGGCAACCCTACTGCGGCTCCTTGCTACGGCCTCTCAGCCACCCCCAAACAACAAACCATCATTCTGCCTGCCTCACAAAACGAAAACAATAAAACAGCCCCCGTCTCCCCCCAGACCCTCGTCACTTCCATCTCACCCACTCACACTGTGACACTTACCTATCCCCAAATCAAACCAAACCAAACCAAACCACAAGACCTTTCATGTCCTCAACCGACTCTCAAAAAAAGGATGCCTTGACCTCCGTCCAAAGCATCGCCTCCACCCAACCAGACACCTCCTCCGCATCTCCAACCCCATCTTCCTCTTGGCGCTCAAAACTGCACTTGCACCTGCACCGCCCCACACCACCCACCGTACCCGGAAAGGAGAAATGGCGAGATGCGACACTAAGTGAAAAGGAGCGCTGGAAGGAGTGGAACAAGGCAAAGGACAGGGAGCAAATGAGAGGGTGAGTCTTTTTTTCTTATACATGTTGTTGTTGTTTTTTTCCTTGGGGGCTGACAGTGAAATGAATAGGTCGACGATAGGGGCTTTTACCGAGTTTTACAAGGGAACGGGCAAGACGGGGTATTGGCTTGATATAAGTGAATGATTCTTTTTTTCTCTGAAGGAAGAAGGATGAAGGATGGAGGAGGTTAGAGGATGATACCCATTTTGAGTGTGTTTGATTTAATTTTACATTGCGTGTTGGTTGGTTATACATTTCATATGTGTACAAGGGTCCATAATCGTACAGTAGTAGCCGTTTTATTCTTCGGCAATGAGTCTATCGACAGCTGGCAAAGCAGTTAGTGTCAGTCTTGTGTGGGATTGGACAGGAAGAAACAATTTACCTTTGCCATCCTCCATCAAATACCCCGAGCAATCAATCTTCCAGTCTTCGCCTTGCACCTTGACTTTCGCAATACCGAAGCGCAAGACTGCGAACTTGAATCGCAAGAAGAAGTTGGTCCATTTCTGGTGCACCCATCGGGCGGATCCTTCCCAGACTCTTGCTGCGACGTTCAAGTGGCCAAGGTCATCCCATAGTTTCTGCTTTCGAAACCTTTCTGCCTCGAGCAGCTCTCGTACCATGGGCTCTGTCTTTTCGCTGATAGTGGCCTCCCCCAGTTGCGAGTAGATGACACGCTCTTTGGACCATGGGGCTGCTCTGACCGTCATGCGTAATTGTATGGGTCCGCCCTGCAAACTAGGTATGACCTCCAGTATCCTCATGCGATTGGTAGGCGCGGTGCAGATATAACACCCGATGGCGATAAAGGCCGCACCGACAACGACATAGGTAGGCCGCACGAAGAACGGCACCTCTCTATCTTTGATGTCATTGTTGAACTTCATAGAGAAGGCGCCGACGCCAATCCACAGGGCGCCTGTGCCATACACTTTGGCATAGTACCATTTGTTGCGCGGGGCCTGGTATATCAAGACGGGCTGACGGGTCTGGGCCACTTGTCGCAAGACAGGGTCATTGCTGACAAAACTCGACTTGAGATTGCTTTTATAGGTGTACTGGTAGCGGCGGAGGGCGGAAGAGGCGAAGAAGCGGGCGCTGCGCTGAGCCGATGTGGATTGGAAGGACTCTGGCGTGCCGAAGAGGGCGGCGCGGAGAGATGAGGGGAGGCGGAACGTGTTGATGCGGAGGAAGGCATCGAAGCCCCGGGGAAAGGCAGGCATTGCAGGGGATGGGTGAGACTTCACACTATTATACCATTGAGCGCATCGTATAGCAATTGACTTCGGCGACTGCAAGTCCGTCTGTTGTCGTATGAGCGGCTTTGCAACCGTGGGATTCTGGTGTTCCGATGGTCTGTAGAAAATGTAACCCAGCAAAAACGGGCGGTCCAAGCGTGCCCGCTCGACACCTCCGAAGCTCATCCCGCGCTCAACATTTCTCATCATCGACGTCCGACCGCCTGCCAACCCTCCACCCACACACAGGCCAATTGATTCCCCATGGCTTCGCTCGCCGCAGCATGCAGGGTTTCGGCACGCGCTGCCTCACAGCAGTTGCGCAGCCATGGCGCTCGGAGAGGTAAGAAAGAATCGTTACACTACGGGGAATATAGAATACTCACGGGAATGGGATACAGGCCTTCATTCGAGCCCGGCTTCACTCGCCGCGCAAAACTTCAACATGCCTGCCCTTTCCCCGACAATGACCGAGGGCAATATTGCGACCTGGAAGATCAAGGAGGGCGACTCCTTCTCCGCCGGCGATGTCCTGCTCGAGATTGAGACCGATAAGGCACAGATGGACGTTGAGGCCCAGGACGATGGTATTCTGGCAAAGATCACCGTATGTGCACGGGAAAGGCCAGGGTGACTAGTCGGAAAATTAACAGCGAATACAGGTCGGAGATGGATCAAAGGCAGTCAAGGTTGGCACACGGATAGCCGTCACCGCGGAGCCCGGGGACGACTTGAGTTCGCTTGAGATACCCGCTGAAGACAGCCTCGCGCCAGAGAAGGAGGCTGAGGCCCCCAAGGAACAACCCAAGCAATCTGTGTCAGTGCCCAAGGAAGAGCGGACATCTGCATCACCCGCAAAGTCGGACGCTTCAAGTAAAGCCTCGAGCGCCAAGGCTACAAAGCAGACCTACCCACTATACCCCTCCGTACAGCATCTCTTGGAAGTAAACGGTCTGCCCAAAGAGGAAGCCAACAAGATCCCCGCTACTGGACCCAACGGCAGGCTACTCAAGGGCGATGTGCTAGCATACATTGGCAAGATTGAGAAGTCCTACCCTTCAGAACTCGCTGGCCGCTTCTCCAAACTTTCCCACCTTGATTTGAGCAACATCAAGCCCATGGCCAAGAAGGAGGCACCAAAGAAGCCTGCAGCCGAAGCGCCCAAGGTTGTCGAGGACTTGCCCGTTGAGCTGGCCATGCCCATCTCTCTGAAAGCAGTCATGGAGTGCCAAAAGCGCGTCAAGGACTCAATAGGTGTCTTCCTCCCGCTATCCACCTTTGTCGCTCGCGCAGCCGAGCTCGCAAACGAGGATCTTCCCAAGTCCAAGACGGCCAAGCCATCAGCAGACGAGCTCTTCAACGCTGTCCTCGGCCTCGACAAGGTCTCTGCAAAGTACTCCCAGGGCAACTTCTTCCCCCAAATAACCGCACTTCCCCCTACCAGTCTCTCTGCTCAGCCGCCAGCACCAAAGAAGTCCGACATTTTGGATATTTTGGCCGGCAAGAAGCCCAGCCCGCCTAAGCGATCTACCTTCAGCGGAGCAGCAGGCGTCGCAGGTCCTCTCAACGTCTTCAGCATCAGCGTACCAAAGGGCGACGAGAAGCGCGGCCAAGTTTTCCTCGAGCGTGTCAAGGCTGTACTCGAAGTCGAGCCAGGCCGATTAGTTGTATAGAAGAATATGTCTGTCCCTCTTTTTTTTTCTGCCACCATCACCACCACCGCCCACTTTATGTAGCGTTTGTATAGTAATGCATCTCCACTGGTTGGGTCAGAAGGTGTTTATACTTGAGTATCTACTATACCTGCTGTCGTTTTTCTTTCTTTCGGTAGTCCACGATAACAGTATCATCATGCATGTTTAAACCCAATGAGAATTGAGGTGACAAAAGTACCTAACTTACCTACGTGCTTCACTTTGCCCCTCCTTTTTTTTTCGAACCATGCGGGTTATCCGCTCATCCACTAAACCTCCCTTGTGTGTGTGTGTGTGTGTGTGCTGATCAGGTGTCGTCGAAAATGCCGCAATTCTACACTACCTACGTGTAAATACCGCATGCGGTAAACTTAAAACGGATGGAGGGTCGCAGCGGTTGTTTAGCAGGTTTCAAGTCGTTGACCTCGCCGTTTATCTTGCGGTATTTTTTTTTCTTCTTAAATTCTTCTTCTTCTTCTTATCCTTTCTGCTCTCCATTGTCTCTCGTCGTTTTTTCTCGTTGCTCCTTACAACCCCCCCTCCCCCCCCTCTTCCATATGGCACGTTGCTGTGTACTCACATGTGAAATATGGGGAGTTGCTAACGAACCTCAAGACGAGAAACTTTTGAAGGATGAGAGAATTACAGGATTCACGCAAGGCGCAGAGAGAGATAGGTCTGTTGAGAGATTTTTGATTGATTTGGGTTGAACATGTTTAATCGTCATGACACACCTTTTTTTTTAAGAAAAAATCTCCTCTTATGATTAGCTTCGCATTCTACAAATTATGTCTTGCAATTTCCTATTACCAGCCTCCATCAAGCCATCATGTTAAACCATGATGGCGAAAACATTGAACTTTTAATCAGTACAAGATCATGGCTACTCATGTTCCCGTCATCACACCATCCTCCCCTTTCTTCTTCTTCTCATCCACTTTCCTTATATCAAGCGTGTTTAAGCCTTCTCACCACCAGCACCGGTCGAATCTTTACTGTAGTATCGACCAAAAACTCGATCCTCAATCGCCATGTTCTTGTCGACCTTTCCGGTTCCTTTCCTGGCTACCTGGCGGCGGAAATAAACACGCTTGCACCACTTCCACAACTCAATGCCCGCAAAGAAGACGCCCGTCTCAACAAACACGATGCCCCACTCCCAAGAAATGGGTGCATGTTTGAAAACGACCGTGTTGAGCGTTGGGATGTAAATGAGCGGGAAGAGAAGGACAAAGCCAACGATAATGGCCCAGAACAAGAACTGGTTCCTCCAGACATCTATCATCCACTGGGTGAAGTAGCGCTTGCTGCCAGGCTGCATGCGGAAGAAGGACCGACGCATGTCAATCATCTCCCACGCAAGGAAGAGAGCAAACCATGTCAGACAGGCGAATGTGCAAGCACGGGCACGGAACACTAGTTCGCACTGCTCAGAATACGTCTCGTTGCAGCCTACGCCGAGTTCGCCGTCACCGAACCCATATACGACGAGGACGAAACTGGCAAGACAGAGGAGCGTGATCCACAGACCGTAAACCACCATGTCGACCAAGAACTCCATGGTGAAAATACCAGTCTTGAGCGACTGAGGAGGCCGCTGCAAGATATCAGGAACCGCGCGTTCGAATCCCAGCCCCATGTCCGGAAGACCAGACGTAGCCATGATGATCCAGACAACCTGTACAGGAGCAAGCGGAAACACCGAGAGCCCAGTTCGGTCTTTGAACGCCAGACCCACGAGAAGCGTACCAGCCTGCGCCACATT